AAATGACAAAGAGAGCAACTTTATTCATCTCCAAAGTCACGCCTAGAGACGTTAGTCAAAGACGGGTGTTCAAGGCAGTAGAATAGTTTATGCAATACGATGTATCACACATTATTTGTTTTCTGTAAAGATTTAATAAACAGTACGCACTTGTTTGACTACGGATAAAAAAAAAAAAATTTATAAAAAATTGGTTATTACAATTTTAAATAATTAAGTGTAAAAAAGTATTTACAATAATATGATAGGTAGCTATAGTTAAAGAATCAAGAGTTTATTCAGCTGAAGAAAGTATAACTGATTTAGAAATAATAATAAGAGAATAATAAATATATATGACTATAGTTGACATTCTGATAATATATTTTTAATAAATGATTTTATATCAAATAATTAATTCATTACTAATAATTTTATAGTTAAACGATTTATTAAAAAATTTGAATGAATATTCAAAGTTGATTTAATTATTTCAATTGACTTGTAAACAAAACCATAGTAAATCTTATTGTCACAATATAATCTTGCCAGAAAACTTGCTAAGTTAAGCTTATAAATTAGAGGATAAAGAGCAAGAAATAGAACAAAGTAAAAAAGATAAACAATCAATAAAAAAATATAAAAGACAAAGGATATCTGATTATAAGGAATCACTTATATATTCAGAAGGAGAGAAACATTAAACTAAAGAAAGTATACAACTGGGTAAAATTCAAGGACAATATTAAAGAAAAAAATTAAAGAAAAATTATAAGAAACACAAGAAGTGCAAGAAGCACAAAAACCATAAAAAAATATCCAAAGCAAAGAAAATTTGATATTATAAATCTTTGAAAATTACAAGAGCCATAATAAAATTAGCAAAAGAAAAAGATAATTATAAACAAAAAGATTCAGATAAAGAAATAGAGAAGGTATTTAGTAAATAATAAGTAAATAATTAATGAATAATGAGTAAACAATTACTAAATAATTAATTGGTAAATAATTAGCAAATAATTAATAAATAACTAGTAAATAATTATTTCAAATTTTATATTTTTTATATTTTTAATAAATTTATCAAATATTATATAAATGCAATTTTTTTTATTGAAAATATATAATTTGATTTTATCAAAGTATATAATGCAAAATGATTTTGTTAATTTTATAGTTAAATAATAAAAATTTATTTCAAATGTTATAATTTTTATTATAGAATGTTATAACTTTATTATCAAATATTTTTTAATTAAAATATTTTTTTGCTAAATGATTTTATTACCAAATGCTTTTATTGTCAAATGATTTTATTATCAAATTATTTTATTTCTGAATGATTTTATTGTCAAATTATTTTATTTCTAAATAATTTTATTACCAAATGATTATTTTTTTTGTTGAATATTACATTTTTTTTTGTCAAATTATTGTATATTTTTTAAATGTCAAATGGCATAAATTGAATTAAACAACAAAACTTCAGTATAAACTTTTATTAATAAATTTGAATTTAATTGACTGTAATTCAGTAGTTAAATAATTTAATTTGGATTAGTATCAATATACTTATTTAGTTTTCTTGAGGTTTTTATAGTAAAGATAAAAGAAATATATAAGGTTTTTGGATATTAAAAGATAAAAAAAATATTTGTTTCTTTAATTTTGAAAAAAATTACTATAAAAAGAAATTTTTTTAAAAAAAGGTATATATAGGAAAGAGTTTTTAAACTTTGTATTTAAAATTTTAATATATAAAATTATATAAAATTTTGTATATTTATTTAAATTAAAAAATTTATCATTGGATTTTTTAAGAGTAGTAGAAAATTGTCTATTGCTAAAATCAAAACCAATATTTTTTAATTCAAATTTACTATATAAATCAGCAATTAATAATAAAAAGTTAGATTTATATTTGTAGAAACAGAGTTATGTATGGTTTTAATATTATAAAAAATTTATATAGTTTTTGAATTATTTTGTGAATTAAAAAAAAAATTTTTTTTCAATATAAGAATTATTTGCAAAATAATTATATAATTGTTTTAATTGATTATTAGATAATTGTAAAACAGTATTATATAAAATGAAGTAATAAGACTTTTTTATAATTTTGAATAGGAATTAAAAGAAAAAGAATAAGAATTATAATATTTTAATAAAGAAGAAAGATTTTTGTCTAAGATTTAAAAAAGGTATAATAAAAATAAAAATTTAAAAATTAGATATAAAAGAATATTTATAATTTTTAAATTTAAAAATTAGTAATTATTTTATTATATAATTTTCTTAATAATTAATAATTTGATTTTAATAAACTTTATATATATATATGTCCAAAAAAAGATTTAGGCTTTAAATAAATTTTTTTTTATTAAATAAAATTATATAATAATAAAGATATTATTATTTTTATTTATTGTTAAAAATTAACAATTACTTTATTATATAATTTTCTTAATATCCATGATTGGATTTTTATAAACTTTTTTTATATAAATATCCAAGATCTATACTTTTAAATAAATACTCTTTTATTGAATAAAATTATATAGTAATAAAGATATTGGTACTTTAATTTATATTAAAAATTAAATCTCTGAAAATTTAAAATTCAAAAATTGATAACAATTTTATTATATAATTTTTTTAACAACTAATGATTTAATTTTAATAAATCTTTTTTTATATGTATATCCAAAATCTAAGCTTTTAAATAAATATTTTTTTATTAAATAAAATTATGTAATTATAATAATATAATTATTTTAATTAAAAAACCAAGTTTTAAAAAATTAATATTAATATGAACTAGTTATAATTATATTATATATTAATATTTACATTAATCTTTTTCAAGATAATTTTACTTTCAAGTAATATATTATATTACAAAATTTATTATACCAGTTTTAAGCTATAAGACTTTTATAAAAATTAAATTAAAGATCTTTTTTAATATAATTTTTTTTATTTTAACTTATTTTTAATTTTATAATTATTAAAAAGATTAAAGATTTCATTTTTATATAATTTTAGCAAAGATTTAATTGATTAAATATAACATATATAAAAAACAATTAATTTACTGTATATACAAAAAATAAATTTTTTATATTCGATTTTTATAAATATTATACTAAAAATATATACGTATTTGAAATATTGTATTTCAATAGTTTAAATATATAAAAGAATATGTTTATAATTTGTATGCACATCCTATTGGTTAGATATGCACCATTAAAAATATTCATGCATAAACCGGAAATATCCTGCGAGGATACTATAAACCGTGACTTTAAATTAAATAAACCTTTAATTATATTAAAATTCAAATGGCTATCATAACGTACATACAGTATTATTGTGTATAATATTGAATTCACTAATCTATATTGATCTATTTACTTTACAAATGAATATTCTTATCTATTGAATAATAAATCATGCCACCCCAACCCAATAAATGACAAATGAAAATTAGTAAGATTTAGCCATTCTTAACAATGGATGTGCTTCGGTATTGAATACATAGGTGTCCAATGAAATATGTGTGGGTGAACTGAATAATAAATAAAGATATTTCAATGTTTCTGCCAAAAAGAAACTGTAAAGAGATATAATCAGTATGGAGGTGTATGATACGTTTATTTACTAGTTGCACAGTTCTGTAATTAGTTACCTTTCCATGTTGTCATTGTGTGGCCTCTCTGTTGATGTCACATCATACAGTCCCGAATACGCTGTAGGTGTTTTGCACCATTTATCAATGGCCTATGAGAAAATACGAAATTGGTATTACCAGCAAAGTCACCGATGAATGTGTTAACTAAGTTAATATTGATTCATATTTACCTGCCAAATTTTCCAGCCTTTCTCTTGATACTCCTTGTCTCCTGTCACCCTATACAGGACAAATAAACTTTCGATCGTTTCTATAGAATTTAGAAAAGCTTGTTAAAATACATTGAAATTTTAATCGCAAACAAACATTTTATTTTCACCTGGTCTTAGCAAATATCTCTTATCCGTTCTCAAAATTTTATCTGAGAAAATTTCATTTTCATCTGTAGTTTCGCTTGATTCAATCAAATTGAGCATGTTCACTTCTGCACCAATTCCAGTCTCTGTGTCTTCGTATAACCAGTAGCATGTCTCCGCTAACCTTTTCGCGGTTTCGAGATCTCCTGGACGGTCCAAAATCTTTGAACCTATCGCTAACATTCCCGGGATAAAACAGACCTACATACGTGGTGTAATTTAGTTGTCATTTTCAAAAAAAAAAAATAATAATAATAATATCAGAAGCATTACCAGATGATCCATTTTTCCAACGAAGCTATTGTTATACAATTCACCTAAAAACAACATGTTAGGTCGCTCTTTTATCGAAAATTCTTTAATCATGTATTGATGCATGCTTTCGACCGACTGGATATCTTTATTACAGAGCAGTCAGTATCATATATGCACAAAGAAACATCGTATTAAATAAAACATTATTTACACATTCTCCGGTATTGGTCAAGTGCGCCTCCAACGAGTATATACTCTTTGATTAGATACTATCGCAAAAGAGGTTTTGCGTAAAAAATAGATTACAATTTAAATTATCATATTTTAGGTTATGCTGTAAACAATACCTCATAAAAGCTATCTCCGTTAGCTCCAAATGAAATATAATCTATTTTATTTTGAGATAAATTCGAATTACGATTAGTTGAATTACGCGAAACGAATTGAGATAGTAAATTAATTACCAGAAAAAAATTCACCGGTTTCTAGAAAAATTGATCAAAAGAATTAATAAATTACTTTAAGAAAAATATATATATACATATATATCACATATTTGAATGTCTCGTGCAAACCATAGGAAATTCCGATAGGGTATAACCCTGGAATGGTTATGTTGGCATTTTCAATGAAATTCGTGATATTGTTAACCTTTGAACGTGAAACGAATTCGGTGAATAATCATAATCGATATTGGAAGGAAATTGATCCTATGACATATCTCACTCACAAGAAAGAAGAAGTCGCTGTCGTCTGTCAACTGTGCTAACTTTGTAAATTCCAAATATAAACTCCCAATTCGAGCTAATAAGGCACTACTTGAAGTTTCGGGAAAGCTGCCTTCTCTGGCATTTGTAAAAAGATTCGAAATTAATTAAAAACCATTTGGTCACTTATAAAGACGAAAGCTTAAGAAACATACTCTAAGAGAGTTATATCATTATAAGGTAATCCGAAGGGACTATTAAAGGAACCCAATAAACTAACTCCTAATTCGTGTGCCTTCTCCAAGAAGATTTGATCTTTTGATAACTCGAATGCACTTAACAATCCACCCAAATATCTAATCGTTGTCTCAAAAACGTTAACCGAATAACTGCTCACGGAAAAATCTACTTCGCTCACGAACTTTCTAGATCTATTGAATTCGTCCTTCAAATCCATTATCCACATGGTATCTAGAGAATCAACTATAGTTGCGCCCCACCCATTAAAACTATTATCACTTTCATTGCTAACAGGTTTCAATTCATCATGTCCCCACGCATATTTAGTATAGCCATTCCAAGCATGGATAAATCCATTTCTAACTGACTCTTGTCGTTTTATTCTGATGGCTTTTTCTTCATTCGTCTCTTCTATCGAAGAAAAATCGAATTGAATTCTAGGCAAACGAGACACATTAGCCAGGTATACCTGATCACCAATTTCGTATATAATTTTTGCTGAAGGGTCCGTGGTCCACGACCTAAGGATCTGGTATGTTACTAATCCTTGTAATAAAATAATAATGATTGCGCGTCTTATACGAGTGTTCAATCCCCAAGAAATTTGTGTCGTACTGGCTTTTCTCAGGACCATATTGAATATTATAAATTAGGTATCGAAAAAAAAAAAAAAGAAAAAATTAAGGTTCTTATATTTTATAGGGAATAAGAAATGAATCATTTTATTGGATCCAATCAAATTCTCATTATAAATTGATTCGATAAGCAAATAAAGAACACGAAATGCAATTAATTGAAAACAAACATGGTACAAGTAATTTTTTCGTGAAGTTTACATAAACCAATAGACCAAAATAAATTTCACCTGATTGGTCAATTATCTCTGAAGGCGACAGAATGTTAAGATTTTTCGACCAAATAATACATATGGAGTACAATGTAAAATTCAAAAATCCCTGTCTGCCTTTGGGTAAAATGTATAGGTTCATTTCGAGACATAATTATAATTCCCAAAATAAGTAAAATTATACATCTATACATCACTATTAAAAATAAACAGTACAGTCGACTTTTTTAATACAGTAAATACATGATTGTCAATAGCATTCATTCATTATACTGATTTGAAATTCGATAAAAAATTATAAATAATTAATATAATCATGCTTGGTTATACTGTATTTATATTATCCCTTAAGATATTTGATATAGTATATTTATATTTAATATTACGAGTGACGGTTTTGTACCATACTTTTGAGTAGATCTTATCTTAAATCATTTCGGACTAGCCCGATCTAAAATGAATGATATACTCAAAAATTATACATCGGTACAGTAAAATTATAAAACGCGAGTGATCAATATTGAAAGAGATGAATATTTGATTTTATTTTGAAAAAACAATGAATTTTCTTGATATTTTTGAAATTTATAGTCCCTCTCTTGCTGTAATGTATGCATAAACCAAATTTTGTATTTCATTTTTCATGCTGAAAATAAATTAAAATTGTTAATTCTATGGTGAGGTTTTTTTTTTTTCGAAAAAATAAATATTTTTAAAATGAAAGATTCTAAATTGCAGGAATATCCCTTGGTCATCATAAATCATCATCGCCGCTAGGCAAGAATGCCCAAATAGTTCCAAGGGTTGATAAAAGTCCACATATTAAGATGATTGCCAAATTTAGAATGTATTCTTTCCACCTCATCTCACGCCCATATAATTTTAGATGGCATATACAAGGGAATATGGCCGAAATGGTATAGGAGAAGAAAGAACCCAAAATTCCCATCACACGGTCAAA